GATCCTTGTTTATTTTCCTAAAATTATATCTTATATATTATTAATGTTCTTATTTGGAGATATAAACTGAATGGAATGGCAGATTATAATTTTTCTAAATAAGAAAGAAAAATTCTTCCATTCAATCATGTCTGATTCTCAGAGATTGCCTAGAGAAGTCCCTACAGTTTTCCTGGCACTGTTTTTCAGAAGTGGTTTGCCATTGCTCCTTCCTAGGGCTGAGAATGTGTGGCTGGCTAAGGGTCACCCAGGTACCTGTGTGGCAGGCCTCTAGTGCTCATGGTCTCCTGGTTTCTAGGCTGCTACCTTAACCATTGCACCAAACTGGCTTTCAAATAAGAAAACAAGTAACAGTTAATCACAAAAAAACCAAAAGACTGAACCAATTGTTTCATTGGTTGAACAATCAACATTAACTACTGTTGTTTATTTAAAAAGCCAGAGGTCATTTTATCATTATTTGAATAATTGCATTTGATGTTATGATGCATTAGTCATTGGGTCAGTTTCCCCTTTTGATACTAAATAATCAAACGGGAGTCAATGCAAACTAAGGTTAAGGAGGCAATCCCATCCATTAAGAAGCACTCTTCCTTTCAAAATATAAGAGTCTGCCAATCATGCCTATAGTATTGTATAAGAAAACTATATTCAGACCATCAAAGGCACTTACTGATAAAAGGTACACTTATGCTGCATTAAACATGAGCAGCTCATCATTCAAAGATAATTGAATGAGCAAGTAAATAGGCAAAATTCACTCAGCTAAAGTTTCTGGCAGGATTCAAAGCGAAAGAATTTTCAGAAGATTAACATGAAACAGTTGCTTGGTATCCGATAGCTGTCAGAGCAGATATTCTTCAAAACAGATCATTTATAAATGCATATGTTTCATTATATAGTTACTGTGTCATTGTATAAAATGGACAAGTATGGAAAGATAGGATGGATTTAAGTCTTAAATGATCTGAAAAATCAGCACAGCTGGTTGTGAGTCTAGCTCCCAAGTCGTCTCTTGGGAAAACAATTGTAAAGAAAATGGTGTTGTCTAGGTATGTAAACCAGAATGGGAAAGGAGCCATTTGAAATAGAGCCTTGTTCTGTCCCAAGTGCCTCTTAGTCTGCCCGTTACGTCAGATCAGTGTTTTCCCAACCTTGGCAACTTTAGGCTATGTGAACTTCAACTCCCAACATGCTGGCTATGCAATTTGAGAAGTTGAAGTCCAGAGTTTAAAGCTGTCAAGGCTGAGAAACATTGCTTCAGATCCTCAGCTAAACTATCCTGCTTAGCACTGGTTTTTCCCATGTTTAATAACGCCTATGACAATTCATATCTGAAATAGCCATGCATGGATGAGAACTGATCACAAGATAACCCTAAGGGCTTTGCAAGCACCAGATATTCTGGGATTCTTCACTACTAAGATGCAATTGCCAGGACTCAACAGCTGTGATGCCAACAAACATCCCTCTAAAACTAGCATCTGCTCTGAATAGAAAGGAATTTTGCTTGCATTTATACTGCACTGTGAGCTGTCTCAAAGGTGCTTTTTTCAAAGGCTAATTGGACTTTATAGTTTTTTTGTTTGAAACCCTTTTGCTTCTTACCTAAGAAGCTTCTTCAGTTCCAACTGACTGGTGGGGAATGGAAGGATTTACATATTTTACAGTCATCTGGTCATTTGGTAATCTTTACTGCATGTGAACGAGGCACCCTACATTATTCTATCTTTCTTTTGTAAGCACCATTGCAAGAAAATCTGGCCAGCTATGGTTTACATATGTGAAACCCTTACCATAGATAGCACTTATTTGCTTGGTTTATATTTCCTCCTGTTCTAATTATCTGGAGGATATATATTAAGTTCATTTCCATGTTTCTTCAGGGATTGCATGAATGGATTATAATTATAGCAAGTGCAAGCCAATGGCTCTGCAAAAAGCATTTGAAGGCATGCCTCTGTATAATTCAGTTTATCAGCACAAATGGGCTTTTGTGGAGGTAAAGCTTCTGAAAGATCGTTAGAAAAGGATGTGGTTTCAAGAAGGAGAAACAAAAGGCAAGTAGTACGATAAGAGAATAGAAAAATCTGACAAAAAGGAACAAGAGGGACATTTTAGTACCACTAATATTATGCCACAGATAGCAACAATTTTCACATTTTGGGCCACTTCCTGGTGATGGGCCACACTGTTTTCCAAAGAACTTTAAGGAAAATGCTCAAGATTAGTTGGATGAAAGAAATTTAAGCACCAAACTGAAAAATACGCATACTTGGAGATCTCTTTTGAGAAGATCAGAAGCAACTGTCTACAAACTGGACCTGCCATGAGGAGATTATGAGATGCTACTAAGGCTCATAGAATTAGCTCACTACAGTTCTGTCCTGCTGATTGGGTGGAAGCAAACAATATAGAAAGAAACTATATGATCAGTATTTCTTTAGGATGTTAGAAACTGGGACAGAGAGATGGATCTCAACCTGAACAGATGACCCCATTAACTGTAGTCTGAGAGAAGCTCTCATTTTGTGGGCTGTGGAATCCAACAGAGATAAAAATTCAGGGAAGGAAGCAGAAATATATCATAGTTCTAAAAAGAATGTGTTTAGCAGATCATGCAAACTTTAACAAGAGAAGTTTATAAATTTTTTTTGCTGAGGATGAGTAGCAAAAACCTTATGGCTAAACAGCAAAATATTAGAGACAAAAATATGCATGACAAAGAAAGTGGCAGTGAGGCCAAATGACCTTCAAGTAAATATAATAGAGAAATTAGGAAGATGCACTATTCATAGCATCCAATACCTATATACTAATGCATGCAGGGGAAAAAAAACCCAGGATGAAATTAAGATCTGAAGTCCTAATGGAACATCTAATGTATTCTTGTCTTGCTGATATGTAATTTCTGAAGAGATGGATTATATAATTTTTTATACTAGATTTAATCCTGATTGATAAGAATGAATTCAATGAGTTTGAAATTCATGGGCTTAGTCAGGCATGTATTAGATTCCCCCCCACATGACCATAAGGATGCTGCAACGGTTTTAAGTGTGAAAAACAGTCATAAGTCACTTTTTTCAGTGCCGCTGTAACTTTGAATGGTCACTTGACTAAATGAACTGTTGTAAGTTGAGGACTATCTGTACATTAACCTCAGGTCTGGGACCAAAGCTAGGTCTTTTTGAGGACTTTTCAGAGTCCCAGGAGAGAGGCTGGATCCTTATCTTGGAGTGGGGGCACAGAGAAGGCACATTTTCTTAGTCCCGCAAAATGACAATGTTTAATAGTAGTGAACCTGGGGTGCACGTACTGTGGGGAACATATCTGGCAGGGAGAATTGATTGGAGATAGTCAGTCCCTGAAATATGCAGTCCCTATATCATGCAGAGTAATAGCCAACACCTTACATCACACTTGGAAGTCAACTAGCAACCAATGCAGCTTGAGTAACAGTGCCGACATATAAGCATAACAACTTTACTATATTGTTTGCACTGCACTACTGCAAGACAGTTGCTTCTTTCCCTTGACAGTTGAGGTCATTGTGCATGCTTAAGACAATGGTCATCATTTAAAGTTAAATAAATAAAATAGCGGGAGAAATTAAAAGAAGATACCTAAAATGAAGTTTCCCCAGTCTGCTTCATTAAAAACAACCATTCAAAATTTAAAATTAAGACAGCTGTCCTTACAGTTGAAATACGTAGATGCTTATTTTTTTACCAGACTTGCATTTGTTGGATTTATAAATCATTTACCAGGTTTTTATTATCTTAGAGAAAATTAAATATTAAAAGAGCCGGCATTAAATCACAATAAGAGAATAGTATAAAAAACAATCCGAGAGCCAGCTGCATCATCAAGAAGGAAGGATTTGAAAATGGCCAATAAAGGTAGCTTACATCACAATCTTATCTTATCTTAGATACAATCGTAATAACTGAGCTAGTTTGGACTAGCGTTTAAGGCACCATGTAGAAATTGGGAGACCATGGGCATGAAGCCAGCTGGGAACCCTTGGGCCAGACACTCTCCCTCAGACCTAAGAAGCAGACAGGAAGGGCAAATCTTGCCCTCAAAAGTACCGGGACGTGTCTAGGAGAGAAGCAACCTGGAATTGAGGAGAAATTTTCTGATAGTGAGAACAATCAACCAACAGAATGGCTTGCCTTCAGACATTGTGGGTGTTTCATCACTGAAGGTTTTTAAGAAGAGACTGGACAGTCACTTGTCTGAAATGGTATAGGATCTTCTCCATGAGCAGGAGGCTGGACTAGAAGACCTCCAAGGCCCCTTCCAGCTCGATTCTGATCCAATCAACACTTACTCAAAGGCACAAAAGTAGTGAATACTACCAGAGAAGTGTTACAAGATATTCTCAAGCGATTCTCCAAAGCCCCTGAAGGCAGGACAAGAAGCAATGGATGGAAACTAACCAAGGAGAGAAGCAACCTAGAACTAAGGAGAAATTTCCCGAACAGTTAGAACAATTCATCAGTGGAACAACTTGCCTCTAGACGCGGGTGCACCAGCACTGGAAGTTTTGAAGAAGCAACTGGATAACCATTTGTCCGAAATGGTGTATAGGGTTTCCTGTCTGAGTAGCGGGTTGGACTAGAAGACCTCCAAGGTCCCTTCTGTTATTCTTTCCCTCCCATTTCTAAACGGTGGGATGCCTGCCTTTGACATAATTTTGCTTGTCCATACATCCCACCGCCTTTCCCGTCGAAGAGGGCGCCTTTAAGGAGCCTGCAGCCTTAGACAAACCACCTTCTTGCAAAACACTGTTACCCAACCCGTGTGTAATTGCAACCCCCACCCCCCCCCAGACCTGAGACAACCCCGTTCCGCAGAAAGGCAGACCTCAAAGCTTCGCGGGCGGAAGCAGCGGGTCCGCCGATCACGTGACTCGGCGTCATGTGACTCGGAGGTTGGGGGGGGGGAAGCAGAGAAGCGAAGCGGGAAACGTTGGGAGTTTATTCCAGGTTCTTATGGCTGAGCCGGACGGTTCACCCCTTCTCCGGCGGGAGTTTCCTCGCTTCTTGCTGCTCATCTTCCTCCTGCTCCCCTCAAGGGGCCGGGCTGGCCGCTACGACCCCACCTGGGAGTCTCTGGACTCTCGGCCGCTTCCGCCCTGGTTCGATGAAGCCAAGTTTGGGATTTTCATCCACTGGGGTGTTTTTTCTGTGCCAAGCTTCGGCAGCGAGTGGTTTTGGTGAGGTTCCCCCCTCTGCCAGCTCTGGCACGCGTTTTCTCTGATTTCTCCTCCCTTGTTTTACTACCCGACTCGGTTACTCGCAACGAGCAGTGTGTGTGGTTTAGGATTCTTCTCTGCTGTGAGGACGGGCGTAAACGAAACGGGCATGAGTTGTTCTGAATCTCATTGCAATTCCCCCCACCCACCCACCCTTTGGGGTAATGTGAGAATCCTGCTCACACCAAAGGACTTGCCCCCTTCTACTCCTGATCCGAAGCACTCTACAGACCCTGGAAGGTTTGGAAATCATGGGTGTTTGCCGAACACTTTTGAAGATTCAGGGAGAGGCACCCATAGGCGTTGTATTGCCTATCCCCGTTTGAAAATGAAAATCTTACCTAGCAGGATTCCAGCTAACAATCTCAGCTGTCTTCATTATTCTTGGGCCTTTGAAGAACTCACTCATTCTTAGTTCTGGTTGGGCAACTTCTGCTTTTGTTTCTGTTTTTAATTTAAAAGTTTGTGTATGTGTGCATGGATAGGGAAGCCTCATATGTATGCAGAAATGCCTGCCTTTGACATAATTTTGCTTGTTCTCGTAAGGATAAATAACAACACTGATTCTGAAGTGTAGTTTATGGGTTAATGTTAAGATGTGAATAACTCAGTGTGAACACTGGAAGTGGGTCAAAGAACAGAACTAGAGGTCAAGCCAGGAAGTTGAAACCATTATCAAACCAGGCTCTGCTTGCCTGGAAGGATTTTCCTGTCCAAAGGGCTTTATAATAATATAATAAACTCTGCTGTTTATTATATTATAATAACATAAGAAATCCTGCTGTCACTTTGCTTTCAAATACACATAGTTTAAATCAGCAGTCAGTTTCTTCCTACCTTATTTCCTAGAGGAATTATTCTCATAGCAGATTGGCTCTGCTCCGGGTATGAACAATATTCTGATCCAGAATGCAGTGGCACACAGTTTGCAATGCATCGATATTTATCCATATGACACCATTGTTGTACAAGATGCACGGGCTCCCTGTAGACTTCCGAATGCAATTGAAGGTACCACCTTTAAAACCCTGCATGGCATAGGACCATCCATCTCCAATGGTTTCAACTATAGGACCCAGCCTTTGTTGCAGTACCTATGCTATGAAACAGCTTCCCTCCGAGAGTGGATAAACTGATCCTATTGACCTTCTGGAAGGTTGCAAAGACCTGGTTTTTCCCCTCAGGCATTCATAGATTGATTATGTGCCATCAACTCAGTATTGTCTCCTAGGAACCATATAAACATTTTTCCCCATCATAATCTGTCCGTAATATGGTATTTCATGTCTTCCAAAGTTACACTTATTGTCACTATAACTGACTACATTCAATTTGCTACTGGTCATCTTATTTATTTCCATATTTCCCAGCATCCTTCCCCAGTGTTCTTGGGAAAGTTAGCAAATTGAACCAAATTATACTCTGCTTACCTCAAACTTTAGATTTTTATATTTAGCATCTAAAGTTATGTTTCCACAATTCTGTGGGCTATCAATCTTTGAATTTGATTCATTCAGAGAACACATATTGAGATTATCTGAAAAATTATTTTAAAATACTGGTCTGCACTTGCACAAAATCTGTTCATATAGTAGTGTGTTCAAAACGTGTAGGAATTTGCTTCTGTATATCTTTGTTAGTCCTTCTGTCATTGTATGCAGATACACAGGATGTTGTTCCTTTGCAGGTGGTATTGGCAAGCAGAAAAGAAGGAACCTTATGTAACTTTTATGAAGAAAAACTACCAACCTGGATTCACTTATGAAGATTTCGCCCCTATGTTTACAGCTGAGTTCTTTGATGCCAACCAGTGGGCAGATATTCTGAGTGCTTCAGGTGCCAAATACGTTGTCTTGACTTCAAAACATCATGAAGGTAAAGTGACCATAGTTCTTTTGGATCTCAGTTGGCTCAATTTAGTTATTTTACCAGATGAAAGGCTTGGGTAAGATATCCTCATTATATTCTAAAGAAAAAGATGACTGAAAATAATGTTATGATGCTAAGCCAGGATGATGATGAAGATGAAGATGATGTAGTGGAAGAAACCAGGCAGCAGGTAGCAGAAGCAGATAGCCGTATCTTAGAAGCTAAGTTGAATTGGCTCTGGTTGATATTTGTATACAGAATTACTGGAAAATCTCAAAAGTTCAAAAATTTCATGGAAGAAAGCAAGGGCAAGCCATTTGTGTAACCCTTACATTTCTGTAAAAAGGATTCCAGTTCAATATCTTTACATCCTTCCAAAAAGCCAAAACGGCTTGGCATGTGTGATAATCTGTAAAGGATGGAGGTATATGTCATGTTGGGCCCAAAATAAGCATATTGTGTGCTTAGTATGATGTATTAATAATAAATCATTTATATCATACACTTTCTCCTATGATACTGCAGAGAGGTCAAAATAATATAGGACAAGTGATGCTGTATCATCTAGTTATAACTTGTATCAGTATCCAAATTTAGATCATCTTGTTGAAGATGCCTTATACAATGCAGTCTCATTCGTCTCATATCAGGAGATAACAATGGCAAAAAAAAGTGAAACAAAGGTTTCCAGAACACATACTGTACACATCCAAAATAGTTGATTCCTAACCATTTTCTTTCTTTGAGCAGGTTTTACTCTGTGGGGGTCAAAATATTCCTGGGCTTGGAACAGTGTGGATGTGGGACCAAAACGAGACCTAGTAGAAGAGTTAGCTACATCCATTAGAAAGCGGACAAGCTTACGTTTTGGGCTATATCACTCATTGTTTGAATGGTTCAACCCTCTCTTCCGTGATGATTATGCTAGCAAATTCAAGAAACAACAGTTTCCAAATGTCAAAACTCTCCCAGAACTTTATGAGATTGTGAACCAATATCAGCCAGAGATTTTGTGGTCAGATGGCGATGGGAATGCTCCAGATACTTACTGGAACAGCACTGCCTTCCTAGCATGGCTTTATAATGAGAGGTATGTGTTATTTTCATATTGAAATAGTGCATTTTGCCTAAATATTTAGAAGGAAATTGCGCTCTAATCATAATACGTTGTATTATTGATTGCTTTAAGCTCGAGTCCTGGTTCACATTGCTCCCTTATTTTTAAATAGTACTAGGATTAGAGTATTGCTTCTAAAATAATGTAATTGGATTCTGTGATCTAAAACAGTGGTGTCAAACTGAAGACCTGCGGGCTTAGATCTGACCCACAGGGTCAGCCTGGAAACAGCAAAGGACCGGCCTACAGTGCCTTTGCCAGCAAAAATGGAGCTTGTGGGGCTGTGCAGGGCTCTATTTTAGCTGGCAGAGGGCTGCAGTAGGCCGTTGCGCCTAAAACGGGGCACGGGAGAGCTGCATGTGGTCCCCCAGGGCTGTGTTTCACTGGCAGAGGGCGAGCAAAACAAACTAAAAACACAAAGATAAATGTTACCTCTTTTGAATTTGAATATGCAAGAAGGGACAGGAAAGGGAAAGAGGAAAGACAAAGAAAAGGAAAGATGGGAAGAGAGCAAAGAAGGAAAAACAAGGAAAGAGGAAGAAGAAAGAATAAAGACGGGAAAGAAAAGGAAGGAAGGAAGGAGGGAGGGAGGGAGATTATAATGAGAGTGAGTGAGGGTCTCAGGGAAGTCCTGCCTTAGCACTTGGCCACCACAGGTGCCCCCGACATGAGTGACGTTGAGCTGGCCACGCCCACCTCTGGCCATGCCCACTCTAGCCCTCTGAGGTCAAACACAACCCTGATGCAGCCCTCAATGAAATCAAGCTTGACACCCCAATCTAAAACAATATTTTGATGGAAAGAAAAAAATTAAACATTTCACATGTCACTTAGGAATATTTCTTGTGACCTTCAATCACAGCCAGCTTTGGAGAAAATCTGGCCATCTCTTCACAGAGCTGCCACATAATTTAATCTCTGAGTTACTTGCATAGTTTATACTGTTGTAATGGGTTAGAGTAGCTTCCCTGGGCTTTACTGTTGAAGGCAAAAAACTGAAATGCAACCTTATGATGCATTTAGGCAGTAGTTCCCAACAGGCTCTGGATTAAATCTCTTTTAGCAGGGTGGGGGAAAGGAGGGAGTTATGCATTAAATTGCTAATTCATCCTGGCACTAGTTGAAGCCTTATCTTCCCAGCCATTAAAATTTCTTTTAGAACTTCAAACCATTTATTTTGTTGCCGGTTTTACTCTAGTTTTGTGTGTTGCATTTCATTACTACTGTATTTTTATTACTGTCCTTGCAGCTTCTTATCTTAGTTTTATGATGCTTTTTTCATTAGTTCTTTATTTGGCATTTTGTGTTCTCAATTTGTAGTGGCCGAAGAAATTCAGATACAGGATGAATTAGCAATTTAATGCATAACTCCCTCCTTTCCTCCACCCTGCTAGAAGAGATTTAATCCAGAGCCTGTTGGGAACTCCTAAATGCATCATAAGGTTGCAACTCCTGCATTTCAGGTTTTGCCTTCAACAAACAATGTTCTTTCGATTTGCAAATATTTGCCGTTCTACTGTGTTATGTTTATATTTACTGTTTTAACTCTGATTTTATATTTAATTATCTTGTGTTTAAAACATTTGAAATATACTTATGTATCTTTTCTTTTTGTATACTGAGAGTATTTGCACCAAGACAAATTCCTTGTGTGTCCAACCACACTTGGCCAATAAAGAATTCTATTCTATTAAAAATAGGTCCCCTAAAGACCAAGTTTTAGACAACTAAGAGAACTGGCACTTCTTCAAAATTGATGGAGAAGCAATGGATTTAAAACTGGCATTTCTAGAAATTCTAACCCAAGAATTTATAATTGTTTTGAGAAACGTATGTTTTCTGGAAATGTGTCAGAATGGCAATATATTACTTGGCAGAGACTTTCAGAATAGCAAATTACATGTGTTAAGTTCTTCTTTGCCCTTTGTTAACAGTAACCGTGCTTATGTACTTTGAGTATTTTCAACCTGAAAACCTCATGTATGTGAGAAGTTTGCCTTAATTATTATGTCCCTGTGAATATTACTTTTGCTTGAAGAAAAAGAAGGGCCAAGACTAGTGGTATAACCACACTGCCCAGCATCTCTCACATTGCCACAGGAGCTGAGGTGCAGAATTCCCATCACTAAGCGACAGGGTTGCACAATGTTGTGCTATACAACTGTATTCCTTAGCAATGGAAATTCTAGCCCCGATCATCTTTGTAACCTGAAGATTATTTGTATGATAGACAAACAGACAGAGACTGATCTGATTGTCTATCATACATTTGGGAATAAAGGATCTATTTTTTTAGTTGTTGAAGTAAGTTTCCCCATAGCCTGCATTTTCTCTCAAGTTTATTTCTTATATTCAGTGAAGAGTATAAGTGAAGAAATGTGCCTGCAGGTTTGAGTTGGTACCACATACCAACAGTGTATTTTAAATTTTCAGCCCTGTTCAGAAAACAGTTGTAACAAATGATCGCTGGGGCACTGGCACAATATGCAAACACGGAGGGTTTTTCACGTGTGCAGATCGATACAGCCCTAAACATCTTTTGTCCCATAAGTGGGAGGACTGTATGACAATTGACAAGAAGTCTTGGGGATACCGAAGGGATGCACAATTAAGTGATTATCTGACTGTTGAAGAGCTCATACAGGTAAGGCAATTGAAAATGGTACCTGTGATTGTATGGGGACTACTAGTTCTTATTTTTCCCAAAAACATTAATAGCTTACTTCAAAAATGTAACAAATTATACATTTAGTTAGAATAACTAATTAATAGAACATCTTACTGTCCTCGTGCATATTATGTACATAGGTCAGGAAGCAATAGTATGGACAGAATATGGTGAGGTAGATTGGTTCTAGGTTGGCAAAGGAGTGAGACAAGGCTGTATCTTATCCCCTTATTTATCAAACCTATATGCTGAATACATATTAAGGATAGCTGGATTGGAAGAAAATGAATGTGGTTTTACAATTAGAGGAAGACATATCACTAATCTTCCCCAAGCTAATGATACAATTCTAATAGGTAAAAACACAAAGAATTTGTAAGCTCTAGTAATAAAAATCAAGAACACAGCGAAAAAATGGGACTAATATTAAAGATGACAGGTAGAGAATCAGCCTCAGAATGGACAATGAAGAGAATGAATAGCTTCTGCCTTTTAGCATCAATTATCAACTGTTCCAGATTCAGCAGAAGTAAATCACAGATTTGCATTTGGTAAGGTAGCAATAAAGGCCTTGGAAAATATGTTCATATGCTAGAATACATCTACAATTATCAGACTTGTGCAGGCAGTGTTTTTCTCTAATAAATGAAGGTTTCTATGGAAGTGAAAATTGTAATTTAAATAAGTAGACTAGAAGGAGTATTGATATTTTAGAATTTTTGTGTTGTAAAAGATTTAAAAATTCATTGTTTAATGAAGAGAACAAACAGACGGATCATCAAAAAGATGAACCCAGAGTTCCCACATGAGGCACAGATTACTAGCCTCCGATTGATAGAGTAATCCAAGATCCAGCCCTTTGGAGAAATCTGTAATGTTGGGACAGCAGGATGACTAGCAGTAAAGTGGATGGATTCATTTACAGCAATGGCTTCACTATCGGAAGACCCGAAGGAGTAGGTTGAAGACAGATTATCCTAGATAAAATCTATTTATGTGGTCTATAAGTATCAACACAGATTATAAACTAATTTATAAACTAATTACACCCTACAGTTGGTTATCCTAGAGGTTGCAAAAAGTACTGAAATAGGAATATTTCCCATCTTTTCATTGCTTTCTCATCTTATCTCCCCAATTTCACTCCACAGTTTACTCTTTCTGTTTTGGTTTGTTTCTTTGATTTGTATGAGAAACTTTGCAAATACAGAATGTAGGTACTATACAATCTAATTTTGAACCATTCTTTTATTGATATCACATTACAAGATTTAAGCCTGAGTATTATGTGATTGATTTTTTCAAATACAAAGAGAAGCTAGAATATATTCAGTCAGTTTTTGCTAGCCAATTCCCAAAGAGCATCCAAATTCATTCAAAATCCTGATCTTTTAAATCCATCATTGGCTTAGCTCAATGTGTGATCCACCCTGTATCACCTGTTTGTATAAACTTTAAGATGCTGTACTGGAAATTTATTTTATGTTCACTCATTAGGACAATTCCAATAAGAAACAAATTTCTCACAGCAGAAGCCTTGAGGTTATTTCTTTGAGCAATTTAGCAGTAAAGAAGAAGTTCCTCATAATCCTGAATATGTTATTCTGTAACATCATAATTTCAGCCTTGGAAAGAAGCTGTACAAATGCTTAAAATACATTTTTACCAGTTTACTTTTTTATGAATTCAGTGGATTTTAAACAGATATAGGGATGGGAACTTTGCAGTTGTAATCAGTAAGTAATCTGCTATATGTGTATCCCTCTAGAGAACATAGATCTGTTCTTCAGCAAATGAGCAAAAGGAAACACCAGGAAGTAAGAGAAACTTCACATATTAGGTGGATGAACAGAGCTGACCAATAGGGCGAAAGGACAATGTAAAGTACAGAGCAGGATGTTGATGAGCTCATGAATAAGAAGTTTGTAGTGATTCATAGAATTGGCAACTCCACTTGAATAGTTGTCCTTTGCTTCAACCTATAGCAGTGCACTGGCAGCATTGTAACAAAAACCGATTTAAACCGGAAAAACTCAAAACAGATATTTTGAATTTTAGAATCTTGTGTTGATAATTTTCCTAAATTGTTTCAGCAACTTGTAGAGACAGTAGCATGTGGAGGAAATCTTTTGGTGAATATTGGGCCCACCCATGACGGCCGCATTCCTATTATATTTGAAGAGCGTCTGAAGCAAATGGGGACTTGGTTGGCATTGAATGGTGAAGCTATTTTCAACACTACACCTTGGAGAGCCCAAAATGATAGTATAACATCAGGAGTCTGGTGAGTTTATGAGATCAGTGATCTGGATAATATTAAAATAACTAAGTAGTCTTAAACATATGTAAACTGAACAAGATTTACTGGTGAGTAATCTGGGCCTTATGTTGCAATCATACAGGTAGGGTGATATTGTTAAAACTGGGTAAGATTGCACCTGAATTTTTACATTTAGATGGCTGCAAAAATGGGAGAAAACCAAAATAGATGCTCAACTGAAGATGAACAGTTACAATTTCCTATTATTCACATTGGCCTGGCTTTGAATATACATAAAAAATTGCTGCTCGACATTTCATCAGTTGAAGTGCTCTGAAAACATTAATTTGCAGATAACATAGTTTTTAAAAATTCTGTCAGAAATAAGAATGTGCAGGGCAATAATGATTAGATAAAAAGCTGCATTTAAAGTTAACTAAATTATAAGGAAGCATGCCTTTCTTATTTATTTCAGTGTTAGATTTAATGGTAGAAATGAGAGATTTACACATTTAGATGTTTCCAGTAGGATTGTTTATTTATGGATTGGTAGATTATTGGCTAGAGACATCAATTGCTAATGCATACTTGTACATAGTTTGATTTCTAATGTATTTTGAAAGAAGTAGATATAAGGGCCAAACATAAGTGGGAGGGACATTATTTATTCTGATCCAAATTAATCACTTCCTGAGACTGCTGTTTGCTTCAAGATGTGATTTCAAGATGTGCTTCCTTCCTGATGTAAGATAACAACCGTAGATTGGTATAATATGTTCCAGAATATGCCCTGGCTCCCATCATCTCCAATCTGCTACTTATTAGGACTCCAGTACATATACTTCAATCTTAGTGTTACTAGCATTTCTAAAAACTGCAAGCTATTAAAAACATTTTCTTCACAAAAAACAATGCAATTTTAGAACATTTAATGATCAAGTATTGGTAAACTATTAGATTATTTGTCTGTGGAAATAGTCATCACAAAACTCAATCGTCATTGCATTCTCTCTTCACATATCAGCTCTCCCCATTTGGGATAAGAAGCAGGGCGGCGGTCATCTGTTTTTCCCCTCAGATTTTCCTCTTCCTCAAAAAAACAACAACCCCAAGTATCATACTGTAATTGTTCCTGGCAAGCGATTTAATGTTTAAAAATATCTGTTATAGTTTTATTACTGTTACTTCTCAAAGGTCTTGGAAAGATTTGTATTCTGAAAGACTGAAGATACATAATAGAATAAAATCTCCCCATCAGGTACACATTCAAACCAAAAGAAAACATTCTGTATGCCATTTTTCTTAAGTGGCCATCGTCAGGAACTCTGTCGCTGGGTGAACCAAAAGCCGTTCTTGAGAAAACAAAGGTAAGTGATTATGATTATAGCTGAAGACATCAGAAAATGTCAATAGGCAGCCTCCTTGCAAACTATAGATTTTTTCGTATTGACCCACTCATTCTTCCAATGAATAGGGGTTGTTATATCTATCTTTTGGGGATTTGGGGAGCATGGACTTTTAAGATTGTTTTTACTGCTGCTTAGTTGGAACTTTGGAGAAATAGTTAGCACTAGCATACAGAACACACTATGTCAGACTGGACTGTGTAAGTACCACAACAAACTCGGATCTTTCAGTAAATCAGAAACATCTGATAATTGATGTAACTGCTCATCTCTATCAACATGTCCTATTCCACCCTCCAATTTCCTTTCAGAAATCTAAATGGGAAACTAGAATGTGTAATAAGTTTCAGGAACCAAATAGTCTAGCCATGAGTGGTTTCATAGCGCTGAGACAAAAACCATAATAGCACAGGGTAGCAATAACAAGTTCACATGATAGAATGACTTATTTCAAGTACCCTTAAACCAAAAATGACTGATATTCCTGTAGCCAAAACAAATTTTATTTCAGTGGAAGAAGTTCAAAGGAATTGGGCATCCTAGAACTTTATTTGGGCATGTAATTTAGCAATCTCTGTGCATGAAATTTAAGTCACCACTAAGCAAATGTACAGAACACTGCTAAATTTACATAATGATTTTTTTACTTAATATGCTATGTGGAAGGTAGATGAAAAAACAGAATTTTAGACTATCAAATCAAGATAGCTGAGCATGGTATATGGACAGAGATTCATATTTTAGTTTCCTGGTTTGTTTTTGTGGCTCAATGTCTGTAGAGATTCTCAGTTGTCCAGGTCATAGTTGCCCCAAAGGTGCTTTCTTTCAAAAGGCAACTGGACTTTCTTGTTTTGCTTGAAGACATTTTACTTCTCATCCAAGAAGCTTCTTCAGTTCTGACTGAATGGTGAAGAATGAAAAGGTTTATTATATTCCTTGCAGTCATCGGGTCGTTAGCTCTTTCTGAGAGTTGTTGAAGCCACTTGGAGGTTTATCTGTGCTCCCAGGGTCACCTAAATCCTGTAGTCTGCAATTCTCTACCATTCAGTCAGAATTGAAGAAGCTTCTTGGATAAGAAGTGAAATGTCTTCAACCAAAGCAAGAAAGACCAGTTGCCTTTTGAAAGAAAGTACTTTTGGGACAACCATGACCTGGATGACTGAGAATCTACACAGATATTTAGATACCTACTTTGTGATGAACTCCCTTTGAATGGTGTGGGAATTTGAATGGATTTCCGGGGGTGGGGGGGAGCAGACTACAGGATTGAAACACCAGTTAACATTAACCAATTAATCCATGAAAGCAGCTAATTATTTCTTCTTATTGCACATGAATCCATTTTTCATTTGAAAAGGTTTCTTCCTACTTTCCTCCCATTTATAATAGTTTTTTAAAATTTCAGGTGAAACTAATAGGATACGAAGAATCATTGCCCTGGATTTCTATGGGAGAAAAAGGAATGATGGTGGCTGCACCTCTGTTGCCATTCAATAAATATCCCTATCAGTGGGCCTGGACTCTACAGCTTACTAATGTACAGTAGTGATAGAATCTTGCTCTGCTGAATTTTTGTAACTGAAGAAATAAGGGTAGATTTAAAATAGAAAATAATTCAGGCACCAATCTTCTTTTCTTCTCTTAATACTTTTAAAGCAAAGTTGGTGGAAGAATGCATATAGCAATCACAAAAGCTGAATAGGAAAGGTTAAGTAAATTGACATTGTCCAGTGAATGCTGAGTTATTGAAATAGCAATAAGCACTTTTATACTGCTTCACAGTGTTTTACAGCCCTTCTCAAATGGTTGACAGAGTCAGCATATTGCCCCCAACAATCTGGCTCCTCATTTTACCGACCTTGGAAAGATGGAAGGCTGAGTCAACCTTGAGCCCATGAGATTCGAACTACAGAACTGCTGGTAGCCAGCAGTCAGCAGAAGTAGCCTGAAGTACTGCATTCTAATCACTGCACCACCATGGCTCTTAACAGAAGTATTGAAGTTTATGATGTTAAATATAGCTCTTAATACAATCTATCTTTTGTGAAACAGAATACCAAATTGAGTGAAAGAAGTTACCACGGGAGTTTCAGAATTGTTTTAAAATTGAGGCTTTAATCTTTCCCCTAACGATAAACTTTTATTCTAATTATTTTGATTACCTCAGAAGATTCCAAAGAGATTAGAAAATTGTCTACCGGCACTTAGATCTTAGTTTTGAGGAGATAAAAGTGATCTAGTATTCTGTATACATGTTTAAAGCCCTGCATGGGATGGGTGCAGGCTACTTGGACCGCCCCAATGAGACTGGCCCACCTCACGCACGCCAACAGACAGGTTATACTACAGATCCTGTCAGCTAAGGAATTCTGGCTAGTGGGATCCAGGAGAAGAATTTTATGTCATGGTTCCTGCCCTCTGAACATTTTATACCCTGAAGCAAGATTGGCTCCCACTCTTCCTGACTTACTCTCCTGACTTAGAACCTGAAAACCTGACTCTGCCACATGGCTTGGGAACTTAAAGGGGAAACTTCACACTAGATGTGTTTGACTAAAACCCAATTCCGCCTCTTCCCATGTTTCAACCCCCTCCTTTGCCATCTTGTGTTAATGATTTTATCTGTTGTATTATTTTATAAATGATGATTTTAAATGTTTTTATAATGTTTTTATGTTGCAAGTCACCCAGAGTGGTCGGATATGAGATAAGCAGCAAATAAATTGCTTAATAAATAAATATAGTGGTTATAGAAAGTCCTGCTAAACACAGCCCTGTTAAAATGCCAGGTTTTTACAATGTAAAAAAAATCAGACCAAGATTATTTCAGATTTTTTTCCCTATCTTTAATAGAACACATAAGCTGTACAAATCAATTGAAAAGCAAACTAAAATCTTTTCAGGAAGTGGGGTGGAATTAATAGCTTACAATAACATGGTTGGATAAGGGCACACACCCTCCTATAAGTAGGGATGTGGCTATGTTCAGAATTAACTGATCACATTCAAATTATGGCTAGAATAGTAGTACACAGTAGTGATTAAAGTGACCGATCAAGCCCATTTTCAATTGTTCTAGTATGATTTTTTGACATATACTCTGTTGCCTCTTACAGCAAACAACAAACTATTAGTTTAAAGGTGTGCACACTTATGTAACCACGTTATTATATGTTTGTTTTTTGTCCCTGAAAGATTTCAGTTTTTCAACTGAATTGTACAGCTTGTATTTCGATGAAAGTTGGAAAAAATTCTGAAGTAGTTTATCTTGGTCTTTTTTAAAAAAAAAACCCTGACATTTTAATAGGGCTATATAGCCTTTCTATATGCACTCTATTTCCAGGTGACCTAGTTCATATTTTAAAATACATCGGATGAAAAATAAGTTTTTAATCTAAATGTTTATAATATATGTCTGTGCAGAGCATCAGTAGTGAAATTGTCTAAAACAGCTTCAAAAGGAATAAATTCACTTTGAGATTTAGCTACTGTTACCTTGTATTGTTACATTAGATCTTTTATTATTTGTATCAACTGATTTCACTGCAGCTTTGCAACTAACTATCTTATGTTTTACTCTATATTCAAAGAACTGGGGATAAGATCTGAACAATAAATTCCTAATTCCATAAACAATACTGATCAGGACAGCATATAATCTGTCAAAATAGTTTATTGTGATTCAGATATTTTGTAGGGCTTCAAGTAAATACAAATTAAAAATATTTACAAAATGAATGTATACAGCAATAGCCATTTATAAACAGTGTAAACATAATTTTTGCTAGAAACAATACATTTCAACTCCAAACTCATACAGCAAGCTCAACACTGCACTTTTCAGATACCAGATGATCTTTAGCATATAGTAGTAGTCAGTAGTCCCAGTTCGAAGAACCTAAACCTTTAAAGCCAACTAGTTCGCTGCTGGATTGCTTATCTGCTCCCCCAAGTCAACTTAAGAAAAACATTTCGGTGGTTAAAAAAGAGAAAAGCACAATTACTCATCTACCACCAGAAATATAATAGGAGTATCTGATGATCTTTTGATCAAAGCCCCTTTTATTCAGTTGTACTGCAAGAATTGTATGGTGATTTTGTGCCAAGAAAAACTTCAACTAAAAGCCATTCTCACTTACTGATGGAGAAAAATGGTATCAAGTACACCAGAACTGGCTTTGATTATTTTTATTCCATCTGCCCGCTGTCATGTTGTTTTTCTGATAACAACTGATAAGTTGCTGAATTGGAGAGGGACTGCAGAAATATTTTATTACTCCAGCCTAAAAAAATGACTGGACTTAAGTTTTTCCATCATGGTTTTGTGGTTATCTGTGCAATTATAAAAACTGCCATTAATCTTCAGAAACCATCAACTGACACAGTGTTTATTGCACTGCTGTTATTTTTGTAAACAAGTTATTCAAAATTGACTGCCTCAATTCAAAGGCTTACAGCACTAAGATTTTTTTAATATTAATAATTACTTTACTCAGCTTTAGGAATTCCAATATAAAAATTTTGGAAATGAATTTTTTAAAATGTTTGCTTTACAAGGATAGTCATTCTACTGCACTTTGTTAATGAGTTTCATTATCAAAATGAATAGTCACAATAACTAAATACTAAATAGTATCTTCTGTACATATTGAACAGTAGTTTACTTCTCTAGTTGTTGTGGGGTACTGAAGGCTTCATATACATTAGCAGCAAAGTCTTTCACTTGTTCCATCATTAATAAGTCCTAAAAAGAATATTCAGATCAGTTTTTGCTCTGTTTTATTATGACATACCATTTTTACCATGATATCAAGAACAGAAATTGAACATTTGCAGTATTAGTATATCTACACTAAAGCAGCGCAAGTGCTTAAAATCAAAATTAAAATACTTATAATGAAATAGAAGAGATGTAAAACATTTAGGGAATATAAAGGAAGCCTAAAGACTTTTTTTCTGTATCAAAAAGATTAGGCTTTCCTCCTTTATTGCTGTCTAGTCATGAGAATAAAGAGTAGGCCGATAAAATGTCTCACTTTAATTATGAATATCCTAATCTCATGATTTGAGGTAATATTCCCTATTCCTGTTATTTTAATTTTGTTTTAAAACTCATTGGAATTTAGATTTAGCAAGAATGATATATAATTTTAAAGTAGACTAAGTGCTAAACACACTTACCTAAGAATAAATCTTACCAAACTAAGTCAGACTTATTTTCAAGCAGGTTTGAGTAGACTTATTTTCAAACACTTTAAAAACAAATAAAGGTTTTCTTACCTGAACAAAATGGCTAGGTGTTTCACTGCAAACTGAGTGGATCTGTCCATTTATTATTGGGATTATCTTGGCTAGAGGAAGACTGGCACTGGAAAGACTAGGATAGGGGAAAAAAATACAGAAAAAGTTTTGTCTACTTAATTACTTTTGCAAAATACTGATATCACAGCCACCGTAAAACTGTAAATATTGAATATCGACAGCAAGAACATATGCAATATAAACTCCCTATACAATGCAACAGTGATAAGCAGGTGGGAATGCAAATAGATCGATCCCAACTCTTCCATTTACACACTCAGCATTTCTCAATCTCTCTGTGAGCTGAGTATACGCATCACAGTTTTTTGTTGGCTGCCAAGCGTATTAGCTGACTGCAGTATCCCAATTTAAGAATTATCAGAAGGAGATTCTACTAAAATGTTCAAACAAGAAAAGACACTTTCCACATTAACACCACCCCTGCTTAAAAGTTTTTTGGCAATGGAAACATGCAAGAGCCACCATTTATATGTGATTCTTCCTAGACTGGAACAGAAAAAGTTGCTGATTTTTCTACATTTTACTTAAATCCTACCTAAATTGACAACTTGCGATAAAAACAAAATGAGAGACATTAATTAGAAAATAATGTCTAACTTATAAGGATTGTAAACCATGTAATAGGATAATTCATTTCGAAGTAGTCATGTTTGTTCAACCAATCTATGCCTCTTCCCTGCTCTGCACACAATAAAAACACTTTCATTAGAACTATAGTGGAAGTTGTCATGATGGACATCTTCCATGAATCTATTTTAAATAACTTTTTCTTTCAGAGGATTTGCAAGGGTGTTTTTCTTGAAATACCACTGTGAAATTGCCATTCAACTTTTAGTGGATAGAAAAAACCCCACTATTCTCTAAACAGCTGGGAGCATTTGTACTATTAAAATCAGTTTTACCTGTTCACAGAGCCAGTATGGCATATGTCTAGTTCAGTAGGTCTGAAGAATTCTGCCATGTTATCCAGTAATCGACTGAACCCTCGATTTAAACAACTGGTCAAAACTCTATTAAAATCTGGGCTGGAATGAAGAAAATATTCCCTGGTATTATTCATAATTCTTGGGAAAAAAACTAAAGTTGTATCATGCTGCCTTTTCATGCACAAACTGAACTTTTCAGTTGCAGTTCCCAAAACCATAAGCTATACAACATAGGCTGTACATGTTCTAGGGAATTACTGATGTTACATACAGGAGGACAGAAGTTCCATTTCACCCTCCTACATCACATATAAAGGAAATAAACTCAACATCATAGTTCAAAATGATTACTTGCCAGTAAACTATATGGAAACATCCACTTCATTTATCAGCACAAAATGCTAATTAAGGCAATTGTTTCACTTTTCATATCAAAGCTGCCACCAACTATATGCATTTCTCCTCAGTTTTACTGTATGAATCCGTTTGCTTGTCACTCAGTCAATAAACAAGTTGTTTCAGTACCCAAATTGCAGGCCATTTGGTTACAATAATAATTAGGGTTTGGTCCAGCAACATCCACAAGAACTTGCATTTTGGATCATGTGTGCAATTTTTCAATGAATTTAGAAAAAGGTCTGCAATGCTAGTGATGTAAATCTGATCTCCATCCATACCCCTTGTCTGTGATGATAATGATTTACTCAACACAGAAGTGGAAATTAAGGTTTCTGAGGGCATGAAGGAGATGTATGGCACAAAGGCTATTGGAGTCTTAGAATTATTGTCTGTTATTTGTATAAATTGATCTATTAACATTTCCATTTTTTTCTTGTTTAAATGTCATAAGATGTTGATGTTTAGCATTAATTCAGGTACAAGTCCTCAAACTTTGGCTACTTACCTTTCTAACATATCTCTTGTTTCATTAAGTAACTTAATGGTAGCAACATCTTTTTCTGTAAGCTCATTAGCCTAGGAAGAGAGAGAATAAAGGCAACCTGAATGTTTTCACAATTAGTGTAACTGACTTTATCTTGAATTCAACCATGATTGTTGTGACCCTACTCAAGAAATGCACTGGAGTAGAGTTTGCTGTCTATACGTTATGTTGACAAAGACATTGTTTGTGACAAATGAGAAAATCATTGCACACTGGAATTTTCTTTCCCCATCCTAATTTGGAAAAGCTGAAGCCAAATAAAAGATGTTAGATTCAAGGTAAGTTCCAATTCTACGGAAAACATACAGAATCAACCCCCAATTGTAGTTCAGAGTCAGACCAATTCTCCGCTGTTAATAACTTGCAAAATACCTGGAAAGCTAAAGGATTCTCTTCATCCGGCATCATGTAATGACACAGCTGAGATTGTGGTACAGTTTCTTCAGATGCAGAATCTTCGGGATGTTCAATTACTTTTCTAATTTCTCTTAGCTTCTCTTCCAGTTGCAAAAGGGAAAGGGCATGCTTGAGAGAAACACTGCAATGAGAAGAGTTAAACTTAGTCGCGTGCATTCAAACCAAGTAGTTTAGATTTTTAAAAGACCCTATTATACCTCTCAAATACATTCTGCACAGTCTTCTTAATCACGCTTATTAATTCAGTCAAACCTATGGCAGAAGAGGAAGGATGATTGAAGATCAATTCCTACTTGTTCAAACGTCATAATATAATTTTAGGTAAAAATGTTTTATAGAGAACTTACCATCTCCTAGGAGGTGTTGAATACTTGATAAATATTGTTGTTGAACTTCTGGGGGAGCTAAAAGTGTCTGCAAGAAGAAAGATATTATGTGTCATTTCTTCTACCTAAAGAACACTGTCCTGCATATCTTGCAGTAAATCTCAACACAGACTTCTTCACCTCTTCAGTAGTTGCTAAAATTGCTAAGATATTGTACTTCTTAAAGGACTCTGTCATCTTTTAAAGTAAAACAGAACAATTCATTCCCCTCCCTGCCCCCGTTAAAAGCTACATGAAAGCTATCTTGGAAGCACAGCTGCAGCAAAGGCAGGCAAATCCATAGCCTTCCTGGGGTTCTTGTAGCCACTGAACGCCCAAGATTATGCTGCCAAAATTTGGTAGCAAACTGAAGAACGACACATTTTTTTACAAATAAAATTGATGTATTAAACCTCCAATGAGAACCAGATTTGTGTAATGGTTTAAAGGCATCAGGCTAAAAATCAGGAAATGGCAAATTCCAGTCCTGCATAAGGCAGCTGAATGACTT